TCTGTGGTTTAACCCACAGCGCCACTCGCATCTCTTGGGTGCCTTGCTTGATCACTATTAAATAGTGATCAGTTTTTTTTTTAAAAGCAGCATTAAAATTGTCAATGGCAGCAAGTAAAAAACTAGAAAGATGCACAACAATGCTAAATGTACACAGCAGATCTGGAATCCAGTGTATTAAGAGCACATGGATCTAAGGTGCTTGAAAACATACTGAAAATTGTATTGACAAAAAGACACTAGGTACAGTAAGCTTCTATGGGAAGGGCATTCTCAAATGGTTTGCCACCAATGAAAAGGCACTCCAGATCTCAGGATCTGGGTAGTTTTGCCTCCCACACTCCAATGCACAATAAATTTATGGAACACATTGCCCCAAGATGAGGTCATGGCTGCTAGCCTACGGCCATGTGGATTATGCGTTTGTCTTATGGGATGTATAAAATCATGCGTGGACATAGAGAAGTTTTTATTCCTGTCTTGTAATATTAGAACTTGGAGACATCCAAATGAGCTGAATGTTGGAATATTCAGGACAGACAAAAGAAACTACGTCATCAGAAAGTGCATAGTTAAATGATGAAATCTGATCCCAAGTAGTAGTGTTGACCACCAATTTGGATGACACTAATAGAGGATTAGACACATTTATGGGATATAAGGCTGTCAACACTATTAGCCATGATGGCTAATGTCAGAGGCAGTATGTCTCTGATTGCTGGTTGTTGGGGATCACAACCTGTTGTGCTTTTGGGTTTTCCATAGGCATCTGGTTGGCCACTGTGAGATGAAGAACCTGGACTGGTTGGGTCACTGGCCTTTTTGAGCAGACTGTTGCATTCTTACGAGCACCATGTAAAGTTTAGAACACTCTTGCCTATTCTGATTGGCAGATATTCTGGGTTTTGGCAAATATTCTGGGACCACTGGCATGCAACCGATGTGCTTCACCATTCAGCCAAGGCACCTCTCCCAAAACATCTGTAAAGCTTGGATAGCACGGGAAAAGGATGGTAGCTCTATCAGCCCTGATAGATAAACAGACGCCTCCAGGTATATGGGACAATATGCCTCTGACTAGCAGATGATGGGTTTAGAGGGAGAGTCCTTGTTTTTGTGCCCTGCTTCTTTGCTTTCCAGATAACTGGTCAGTGTGGTAAATGGATGGTCTAGCCCAGAATAGTGTTCCTGTTGTTCTTAGGCTGATGCCATCGCCAGTGTATGGTGCATTGAGAAAATCCACTTAGCTGCCTGAAAATATGCCACCTCTGCTCACAATGTATCGAAGCGAGGAGGAGAATACTCTTCACTAAGATGTCTCAGTAGCAGAAGCATCCTCTGCTGCTAGTTGGAAGGTAGCAATTGACTTGAAGAGTGGGTGGTGCCACTTTTTCTGTTATCAGCAATGCCTAGTTGCTCTTAGGTAACTCCTTGAGAATCAGCAAACCCCTTTCATTTGCTACTGTGGAGTCGGATTTTTACAACAATAATTTATTCAATATTTGTATTTTTCCCAACAGGAGATGCATAAGAGATAAGATCAGCCAAGGCACTGAAAGCACAAGGGTTATTAGTTTCATAGCTAGCTGTTTCGAAAGCCAGTACAATTTTTAAAAAGCTCTTATCCAAACAAAACAAAAGTTTCACCTTGATTTTTTTAGCCTGTAAATAACATGTTTAAGCTAACAACAACATGGAAGCTCTCCTTAAGCAATTGATATTGCATTTGTAATGAGAATATCTTTCCCTGCAAGGTACAATGACAAAAATCCAACTGCAAGTGGTAATCATAAACCACAGATTAGCAATAGATGTTTTTTTTCTTTTCTTAGCTGGTCACCTAGCAACTTTGCCACTACCTGCTGCCATTGCAAATAAGCTGAAGATAACAGCTTTGTGGGTAATTACAGAAATTAAACTTTTACTGACACAAATTAAAACCAGAACAGATAAAATGAAATGGGTTTAAATTGAACCAAGTTTTCTAGGAAATTATCCCTTTTCAAGCTCCCAGCTGTTGAATTTCCAGTTCCCTCCTCCCTTAAGTTCTCATTGTGCTTTTTGTGAAGGCTAGGTACAGAGAGGAAAAAGGAAAAATAATCAGTTATTCTATACTGCTTTTTACAATTGCCAGTGGAAGAAATGTACTTACTAATCCTCTCAGAAATGCTTAAATGACCATCATCCAACAGCTTAGATAAGAATAATAATATTAAGAAATTGTATGAGGCAGTTATTTTTCTGGGATTCATTTATTTAAATGAGCATTCTGCCCTCTTCTAAGGGCTTTGGGCAGGTGAGATGTTTAAAAAAGCAGATTAAAAAATCTAAAAATAAATACCCCTCCCCAGCAAACAAAATATACCTTCTATTGGCTTCATCCTCAGGTTATTTTTTTAAGTGTATTGTTTTTATTTTTAAAAATTACGTCCCACTTTTTAAATATACATATAAACTCAAAGCAGCTTATGACATTAAGGTTCATATGTATAAACAAATCAAAGCTACAAATGAAAATCTCAGCCCCATCATAAGAAAGATCTTCTGGGATATTGTTTTAGATTTTGTAAAAGAAGCCCTTGTAATGCCAATGTGTTTCCTGAGGTAATCTGGGGGTTCTCTAGCTCCAGAAGAAGCTCAGGGTGCAGTTCATCTGTGGACTTCTTGGGTTGGTAGATTTCTTTATAGTACACACAGCATTTGCTTGTCTGCCAAGGGAGAGAGGTCTTGCATGTAGACTTGCCAACAAGTATGCTGGGGTTAGCTGGAATTTAGTTAGCAGGAGCAGAGCCTTGCAAACTGTGGTGGATGACCGTAGATCACGGGCAGATCCTGGCAACAGAATATGGTGAATAGTGAGTGGAGCAAGATCCCAACTCAGAAAGCCAGAAAGCGAGCGCAGGGATGGAATCTGTTGACTGTTGACGTGCCTCTGTTCAAATATGGATGGTGAACTTTAGTGAAAGCACTCATTGGCAGTGCTATTTTTTTTGGGGGGGGGAGGTGTGTGCCGGAACTCACCATGAACGCCTTCCTTGTTTTCTTATAATGGCAATGGCATTCACCTGAAAGGTGCCAAAACTTGAGTTCGGGCTAGAAATTGAAACCCCAGTCATAGGATTAAATGAAAGGAGATGTTCTCAAAGGCGTATAAAGCCCAAGCTATTCATGAAAGCATATATGAAGATTAACTGCTACAGGTAGAAAAGTATTACATCTAAGCATGTTATTTAAAAAGTAGATCAATATGCTCTTGAACTACGGTGCCAAAAATATTTGGGGTGGAGGGCTCACGGTTATGAAATCCAAATTAATTGTCCTTCCAGTTGTTTCTATGTATGTCCTTTCACCCCCAGAGTTTAGATGTTCAAGTGATTTAAAAAAATGGAAATAGTAAATTTATATAGCATGACACCTAAGTGATCAAAGGAACCCTGTAGCACATTGCTTTTAGCTGCTATACCTGGGTTTTGATCTTTAGTTGCAGGGAACCAGCACCACCTTCTGTGAATATTTGTGATTGACTTTGCATGGTGCAACTGCAGCAGGCAAACTGATTGGCGTATCATTTCTGGAAGCTCACTCTTGTATTTTGTTTCCATTGTTCAAGTATATAACTTTGCCAAACTGATTTGGACTTAAGAGCGGTAGTCTTGTAATCTGGGGAACCAGGTTCGAGTCTCCGCTCTTCCACATGCAGCTGCTGGGTGACCTTGGGCCAGTCACACTTCTTTGAAGTCTCTCAGCCCCACTCACCTCACAGAGTGTTTGTTGTGGGGGAGGAAGGGAAAGGAGAATGTTAGCCGCTTTGAGACTCCTTAAAGGGAGTGAAAGGCGGGATATCAAATCCAAACTCTTCTTCTTCTTCTTCACTCTGCTAAGGGGACTTTTCAATGGAGGCATAGCCAAAGGTACAGGACCGAAATCCTGTACAGGCAGACAGAAATCACTTTAAAATCTGGGCCTGGAAGCCGGCACCAAGGTAGCTGAAGAGGAAGCAGGTTTCTCCTCTTCCTCCAGGTGTTGCTACTGTTTGGAAATGGCTCCTGCCTTCTCTTAACTCTCCGGTGAATTCATTTCCCAGATAAGCTCCACCAGCCATACCACAGTTCCATTGCAAGTGCAATGAAATCCTTCATCTCACTGGTGTGCTCAGCTCCTCATCTCTCTACCGTCTTGCATTCTGGGGTCCTGGAATATCTCATTGACAGTCCCATGCCTAGCATATTAATGTGAGGTTAGAACTTTAGATAAGCGGGAGTTGATACAGCGTGCTGAGGAGTTGCTGAGGAAGTCCTGGCAGAGATTCCAAGTGCTTTCCTTTTTTTAAAATGAGAAGACTGGGTGAGATTGCAATATTAAAGCCGCATCTGGAAGCACCCAGCAGCTTAGATTCAATGCTAGTCCTACTCAGAATAAACCTACTGAAATTAATGAGCCTAAGTTAAGTTATATTCCTTAACTTCAATGGGACTACTCTGAGTAGGACTGGCACTGAATGCCACACAGAGAGTAAGGTTTGGGCCCTGTGGGCATTGTAGGGTGCTGTCTCCCTGAAGGACCTATGTGGGAGCAGTGGACTTAGTTTGGTTGTCTTGTTGAGGCACAATAACAAAGTGAAGCCAATTCTCCAATCAGGTCTTCTTTCCACCTGCATGGGAAAGGGAAGCAGGTGGTCTGGAGCCTTAGTTGTTGTTGTTGTTGTTGTTGTTGCAGCTTGCTTGCCACATAAAGATAAAGCCTGTTTTAGTATTACATGCAAACAAGGCATGTATTTCATGGAATTAATGGGACAATGATTGGATAAAGAAATAGAAAGCATTTCAGAAAATCATTTTCTGGAACTGGAAGGAAAGTAATGCAATTTACCTGAGTGAGAGAGTCTCTTAGAATTGTGTGCTGTGCAATGTATACATAGTTAATCCTGGTGATGTTGCTTTGGCTCATCTGTATGTCTGATTCTTTTCTTTCTCTCTCTCTCTCCCCCACCTCTTCCTTAGACTGTCTACAAAGCCTGGCTCTGTTCCCAGTATTTTGAAGTCACACAGTCTCACTGCAACCACACAATTCCTTGCAAGCAATACTGTTTGGAGGTTCAGACAAGGTGTCCATTTATATTACCAGACAACGATGATGTCATCTATGGAGGATTATCCAGTTTCATCTGTACAGGTAGGACAGATTTCAGCAGTCGTTATTTGGCGTCTCTCTCTGAACACACCACCGTAGGATAGGGCAAAGTATAGTCATTCCCAAAGGCTTTCAAAGGTGTCCAAAGGAAGCTTGAGAGCAACATGCCCGTGGGTGGGCATGGCTGGGGATCACTACACAACCTGCCCATGTCTGTTCTTCAGCTTCCCCATCACCCTGCTATTCCATTGCTATCAGGTAGTACCGAAATTCCTCACTTCCTCCTCTCTACCCAAGAGCGCTTCCCAAAAAACCCCAGCCCAGTCCAGAGCCCTATGTCTGAACAGCTACCACTTCCCACCCACCCATCTCTCTCTCTGTTGACTTACAGTTCTCAGATACAAGTGCATGCCAGGCTAATCTTATTTGTTCTCTTTCTATTGGGTATAATTTATTTTAATGCTCCTGTACACCTCCAGCTCATGTTGCCTGTTCAAAAGCCACAGTTGCTCTTTCAGGGCCTGTCTAGAGAGAGCTTCTCTTGCTGCTGGTTGACCTTTTGGGTTCCTTCTCCCTCCTAAATTTTTTGTTTCATGAACCTCATAACCCAATGCCACTTCCTGCCACTGTAGCTTGGCAGTTCCACTCTTTGTGCCCCTGCTCACATTGGTAAGTGATGGTGATTACTGGGTGGTTGTTGGGCTAATATTGCCAATAATGCACTAGGACCTCACCGTAGGTACTTATTATTTTATTTTTTTAACAAAGGACCACATTTCTTTGCATTCTGCACATCAGGCTGGCCATTCATGCAGCCTGTCAGCTGAAAAAATGGCGAAATGGTTTCGCTCCCAACTTCACTGTTGTGAGTAATCAATAGCTATTCCCCCTTATGGTTATGTTCTGCTTCTGAATACCAGTTGCTAGAAAGAGACAGAGGGGAGAGTGCCCTCGTGGTCCTGCATCATCATCATGTTATTATTTATATCCCACCCATCTGGATGGGTTGTCCCAGCCACTCTGAGCAGCTTCCAACACATATAAAAGCAATAAAGCATCAAACATTAAAAACTGCTACAGGGCTGCCTTCAGATGCCTTCTAAAAGTTGTGTCGCTCTTTATCTCTTTGACATCTGATGGAAGGGCACCACTGCCAAGAAGGCCCTCTGCCTGGTTTCCTGTAACTTCATTTCTTGCAGTGAGGGAACTGCCAGAAGGCCCTCGGAGCTGGACCTCAGTGCCCAGGCTGAACGATGTGGCTGGAGATGCTCTTTCAGGTATACAGAGCCAAGGCCCTTTAGGGCTTTAAAGGTCAGCACCAACACTCTGAACTATGCTCAGAAATGTACAGTGCTACCTCAGATTACAGACGCTTCAGGTTACAGACGCTTCAGGTTACAGACTCTGCTAACCCAGAATTAGTACCTCGGGTTAAGAACTTTGCTTCAGGATGAGAACAGAAATCGTGCAGCGGCAGGCCCCATTAGCTAAAGTGGTACCTCAGGTTAAGAACCGTTTCAGGTTAAGAACGGACCTCCAGAACGAATTAAGTTCTTAACCCGAGTTACCACTGTACTGGGAGCCAGTGTAGATCCTTTAGGCCAGGCATAGGCAAACTCTGCCCCCCCAGATGTTTGGGAGTACAATTCCCATCATCCCTGACCACTGGTCCTGTTAGCTAGGGATCATGGGAATTGTAGTCCCAAACATCTGGGGGGCCAGAGTTTGCCTATGCCTGCTTTAGGTCCAGCTTCCCATAGATATCTGGCTGGCTACTGTGAGGTCTAGGTGGGCCACTCATCTGATCCAGCAGGGCTTTTCTTACATTCTTAAGTTTTCTTCCATGCCTCATGCATTGTGGTGGCACTTGAGCTATACTGCACCCCTGTTGTGTGTAGAAGGCATACACTGAGCTCAGCATACTTTCTATAACTCACTAAGCTACCACATCAAATTCCTGATGAAAAAAAGGGACTTTGGTCACATCTTCTCCTTAACATAATTAAAGGAGGAGAAATTTTAGGTTTTGCAATACTGCAGGGAGAATAATTAATTATTGAACAGGAACCTTTTATCATGCTTGCTTTTGACACTGCTATTAACTGTAACATATGCATACAATATCATGGCTAATTAATTCTGTTGAACATGCAGGGCAGAATAAGTTATTCTTCACTTTTAGACATTCACAGCTAATACATATATATACTAGGGAGTCTTATATGCCCATACCAAGCCCAGAGAAATCTGCAAAGTCTGACATAGCAGAAGGACCCGGAGTCAGCACAAATGCCACAGCCAAAATACCTGCCTGGCTCTGGTATGTAACAAGGACTACCTATCCCAAAGTGGTAGGAAGAAGACCCACACAGAGATCTGCTATCCCAGGTGGTTACTGTTATTTACCTTGATGCTCCTTTGCTCTGTCTGCAAAGAAGGCTGAGGTGCCTGAGATATCATAGTAAAAATACAGCCATTTACATACAATTGTTTAAAAACTACAAGAACAAAACATCAGCATAGCACAACAAGAACAATAATTACGCTGTTAGATTCAATGAAATTTTACCTCCTGAAAGACCAGTGAACAGGCATGTCTTCAACTGACATGTTTAAAAATTAATGGCAACTGCTCTTCCCCAAGATCTGCATTTGGTCTTGGCCCAGTATACCTGAAGGAGCATCTCCACCCCCATCGTTCAGCTCGGACACTGAGGTCCAGCGCCGAGCGCCTTCTGGTGATTCCCTCGCTGTGAGAAGCGAGGTTACAGGGAACCAGGCAGAGGGCCTTCTCAGTAGCCCACCCTGTGGAATGCCCTGCCATCAGATGTCAAGGAAATAAACAACTATTTGACTTTTAGAAGACATCTGAAGGCAACCTTGTTTAGGGAAGTTTTTAATGTTTGATGCTTTATCGTGTTTTTAATATTCTGTTGGGAGTGGGTGGGGAAACCCAGCCAGATGGGCAGGGTATAAATAATAAATTATTATTATTCCACAGCTGAGGTGCCACCACAGAAGAAGCCCTGTCTCAAGTCACCATACCACAGACCATGCTGGTCAGGAGGATCAAGAGCAGGGCCTCTCCTGCCAGCCTCAAAGCAAGGGGGCATTAGGTACTGGGGGAGACACTTGGGCCCTAAGCTTTTTGTATGCCAGTACTAACACCCTCAGTAACTCATGGCAGGCTGTATAGTGCTTTTAAAGACCTATGATCCCATCTAGCCTGATAGCTACCAGTTGCAAGGTGGTCTTCAAAAACAGCCTCAGGTAGAGATATAAGGCACCAGGAATAGCATTTTGAGGAGAAGGCAGCCAGCAGTCTCCCCACACTTGGTTTTTCAGACCATGTGTGACTGTACATCAGCAGCATTTATAATTCTGACCAAATCACTAGTTCTGTGCACTGACTAAATTGTCCCATGAACATTTATGGATGTGCTTTTCTTCCATTTTCAAACATGGACTCTACAGAGAAGTTCCCACTCCATAAGCAGTGAGGTGAGCAGAAATGGCCTTACATACCGTATTTTTCGCCCTATAGGACGCACTTTTCCCCCTCCAAAAATGAAGGGGAAATGTGTGTGTGTCCTATGGGGCGAATGCAGGCTTTCCCTGAAGCCTGGATAGCGAGAGGGGTCGGCGCACCGACCCCTCTCGCTCTCCAGGCTTCAGGAAGCTATCCGCAAGCCTTGCAAGCCCGCGGGGGGTCCCGCCGGCTCGCAAAGCTTGCGGGCAGCAGCCTGCAGCCCACAAGCTCGGGGGATAGTGGGGAGGCGGAGCGCCGCCACCCCGCTATTCCCCGACCTGATCTGGAGGCTGGCGGGGGGGGGGGGAGAAGCAAGCTTACTTCTCCGCATCGCCAGCCCCATAAGCTCGGGGGATAGTGGGGAGGCAGAGCACCGCCACCCCGCTATTCCTCGACCTGATCTGGAGGCTGACAGGGGGGGGGAGAAGCAAGCTTGCTTCTCCCCATCGCCAGCCCCATAAGCTCGGGGGACAGCGGGGCAAGCCGCTGCCCCACGGAGGCTAGAGAGGCTGTCCCTGAAGGCAGAAGAGGGAGACGGAGCGCTCCATCTCCCTCTTCTAGCTTGGGGATGGCTGCGCAAACCTGGGGGAAAAATAAATTTTCCCCCTTGATTTCCCCCCCAAAAGCTAGTTGCATCCTATGGGCCAGTGCGTCCTATAGGGCGAAAAATACGGTAGATAGACAGCATGTACTCCCCACCTTGTAATCTCTCTTTCTCCCGTTCAATTTAATATTTACGTGTTATCAACAGGAGCAGCAAATCACCATTCAATAATAAAAGAGTTTCTCTGAAAATAGTACCAGAGGGCTCATGCCATAAACACGTAACAATACACAGATTGCAGTTGACCCCTCGTATTTTTCAGTCGTCGCGCTCTCCACAGGTGGCAATGTTTTGCAGTTCTTATGCATGAAAGAGTCTGAAGTGGCAGCCTGCAGTTCTGGTTGGCTGGTCTTCAGCTGCTTTCTCCTCTTCTTGCCTGCAGGTCTGAAACAGGAAGGAAAAAATGTAGGGCTTATTTAACAGGCCTCTGATCACTCTGGTTCCTGGGAGAGAAGAAATGTCTCCGTTTTTGAAGTAAAGAGGAGGCTGTTTTTGGAACTGCATCTTTCTCCCCCTTCTCTGCTTAACAGGGCAACTCTATTTAAGTGTCATGAGTTAGCCTGCTCTCCCTTCAAGTACCGTATTTTTCGCCCTATAGGACGCAGCGGCCCATAGGAGCACCTAGATTTTTTGGGGGGGGGGAAATAAAGGGGGAAAAATTATTTCCCCCCCCCCAGGTGCATGGCTGGGGCGGGGGAAGCTCAGGCTTCCCCCAACGCCAGCCCCCAGAACGGGACCCAGAGCCATGCCGAAGCTGCGTGCAGTTTTGGCATCGCTCTGGGAGCTTGCGGGGCTGGAGGAGGGGGAAGTCCTCCGCCAGCCTTCTAACCAAGTCGGGGGACAGCGGGAAAGGTGCGCTGCGCCTCCCCGCTGTCCCCCGAGCTTGTGGGGCTGGCGGTGGGGCTGTCCAGGCTTCAGCGAAAGCCTGCATTCACCCCATAGGACGCACACACATTTCCCCTTCATTTTTGGAGGGAGGAAAGTGCGTCGTATAGGGCGAAAAATATGGTATTTTGTTGGTGCCTTGAACTGTGTGGGGGATATGCATGTAGAGTGACCACTTAGACATCACTTTTTTATTTTAAAAAATATATGTGCTTTCCCTTCAAATTCCTTAATGGCCCCCATTCAGGAGTTGAATGGACTGTACTAAATTTGCATGTGTTGACCCTTATCCAAGGTATGGAGAACTCTCGGGGTATGCCTGAATGTCTTTCAGGAGACAAGGTTGGGATCAGGCTTGTACCAAGGTCAAGCAGGGTTCATTATGAAGAATCTCATGTCAACCTGAGGTCCAGCTCTGAGGGCCTTCTGGCAGTTCCCTCGCTGCGAAAAGCCAAGTTACAGGGAACCAGGCAGAGGGCCTTCTCGGTAGTGGCACCCGCCCTGTGGAATGCCCTCCCACCAGATGTCAAAGAGAAAAACAACTACCAGACTTTTAGAAGAAATCTGAAGGCAGCCCTGTTTAGGGAAGCTTTTAATGTTTAATAGACTATTGTATTTTAATATTCTGTTGAAAGCCGCCCAGAATGGCTGGAGAAACCCAGCCAGATGAGCGGGGTATAAATAAATTATTATTATTATTAACCTTCTTACTTATGCCATAAACCATAGAAGACGTTTAGATTGACACACCTACCATATTTTTCACCCCATAGGACGCATCTAATTTTTTTTGGGGGGGAAATAAAGAAAAAAATATTTTTCCCCTCCCCAGGCACGGGGCAGGCGCGGGGGAAGCCCGAGCTTCCCCCGACCCCAGCCCCCAGAACAGCCTAATATCCGCAAGCCTAGGGAGCCGCACTGGTCTCCCCAGGCTTGCGGAGAGGTGCGCGAAGCCCGGGGGCACTCTTCAGCGTGCACCAGGCTTTGGAATGCAGGCAGCTCTGCGCCACCCTCCGCAGCCCTGCGCGGCTTCGGGCCGGGATCCGGAGGGTGGCGCAGAGCTGCAGGAAGCCCTGGAGCGCAGGCAGCTCCGCGCCACCCTCCGCAGCCCTGCGCGGCTTCGCGCCGGGATCCGGGGGGTGGCGCGGAGCTGCAAGAAGCCCTGGAGCACGGGCAGCTCCGCGCCACCCTCCGCAGCCTCCTACGGAGGGCGCCCCGTGCTCCGCGCTGCAGGCTGCTGCCCGCAAGCCTTGCGTGCCCGGGGGGAGTTCCCCCGGGCGTGCAAGGCTTGCGGATAGCTGCGTGAAGCGCGGGGCGTCCTCCGAAGGGCGCCCCGTGCTTCACGCTGCAGGCTGCCGCCCGCAAGCCTTGCGTGCCCGGGGGGAGTTCCCCCGGGCGTGCAAGGCTTGCGGATAGCTTCCTGGAGCCTGGAGAGCGAGAGGTGTCGGTGCGCACTGACACCTCTCGCTCTCCAGGCTTCAGCGAAAGCCTGCATTCGCCCCATAGGACGCACACACATTTCCCCTTCATTTTTGGAGGGAAAAAGTGTGTCCTATAGGGCGAAAAATACGGTATTCACAGAAATGTCTACAGGACTCCCATGAAGGATATATAAATTATGCTAGAATACAAATGCCAACAATTTCAAGCCTGGTGCATTATAATTCTTATCCAAAGAGCAATGAGAGGCTCTTAAAATAGGCCTAAAAGTAGCAAGAGGTACTCTGAAGTTGCAACAATTCGGACATTGAAATCCTTGCAAAGAAGTATAAATGCTGTAGGGAATTTATGGCTGATCTGCCCCAGTAGGGATGCTAAATCTGACCAAATCTTGGTGGTCAGTGACCATAGGGGGATGGTAGTTGTTTATACACTAAAACATGGTTCCTAATTCAGTTTTTATTTGTGCTGGCAAAACGTAATTATTTTGAATTCCAAAATCTGCTATCAAAAAATCTTCTGCCGAATCAAATAATATAAAGGTAGCGAAGCTCCCACTTCTTAGGCCCTTTATGATTTGCTAACAGCTGCCTGGCTAAAATAGTTATAACCCTGTAAAGCAGAGAAGTATTCTGTGCATGAGACCAAGTATTTTGCAATATATTATATCATATTGCTGGAGCAAACAAATAAAATTATTATGCACCCAACACGCCAGATTCCAGGAAAGTATGTTAAGACCTTTTTGATTTCTAGAAAATAGACTGCTAACAGACTAGGAATTTTGGGCCTCTAACCTAGGCATATTTCGTCCAGTACCTACGTTCAGGCCAATATAATGAATATTCCTTTCTTGTCTATTCTAAGATAGGTGACAAAGGCAGGAGTTATGGCTCAAGTTCCTCTCAAGTTGCCTTTTCCAGACTGCAGTTCCCTTTTCTAATAATTACATGGAACCGATATCTAACTTGCAATGGGGGTGGGGCTGTTATTTGGACAACATTTTAATTCGATTAACAGCTCTCCAATCAGCAATCATGAATTAGAGACCAAAATTTATCCCGTACATATGGCTCCTGAAAGGTTAGTTCAATACTGCCTCTCTAATCACAATTAGACAGATATTTGCAGTGTAAACCATTTCCTACATTCAGGGAAGCCCCTACTAAGAAGGCTTGAATTCCTGCTTGCAGTTCAGATTCTGTTTTCATTATTCTGGGGGGTTTCTTCACTGGCTACTTTTGAAGGACCACCGGTAGAACATCTGGGAACCTCTTTCTAAATGAATTTGGTCCATCTCCTGAGTTCATACTGGTGTAAAAACAGGTCTCTGTGTTTAATTCAAATCCTGATAGGGACTTAAACAATTAAATGACATCTATCAGATTCAGTAGCTAGAGAGCTCAGACCTATCCCTGTCTTGATATACCTTCAAACCTTCGCCAACTTCAGCTTGGGTCCTATCTGTGGGGCTACAGTCAGGATTCCTGTCTCCACTAACACAGCCTGTGTACCAATTATGGCATTCAAACCAGACACTTCCTTTTCCAAAGCATCAATTCTGCTAAAGATTCCCTCTGCTGACTGTTTTGCCAAGAGACATTGGTCCACATAAAAGTTCCCACAGTGAGGGAATTTCAGTCTCTGTTGTGGCCAAGTACAATATACCAAAAATGTTACTATGTATTGTTGATGTTTTGGTATATGGAGGAAGCTGAAGTTGCCTGGGAGCGTATGCACCATCTCCCTAAAAGTGCAGCTCAATTGACCAGTTAGCTAAGCTTTCAAGAGGCATATGTAGCAAAATCTCTTACTTGGGTAAAAAGCCTCATGTCTTACACACTTGCCATGTAAGGAACCAGGGCTGTCTACATAAGATAAATTAATTGCAACCTGCCTCAAATCCTTTGCAGTTACCTCTGCCTCGCTTGCTCCCTTTGGTATTTACACTTTGATACAACATATATTCATAAACATTTATTCATAAACATTTATCTGAGTATTTGTTATTTTAATTTTATGTAACTGTTGCATGTCATATGCTCTAATATAAAACAAAGATATGTCTCAGTGCAATCATGCTAAACAGGTTAAAGATGAAAATGAATAAAAACAACAATAATAATGGCACATATTTATCAAACATTTTGATAATTGTGGTCCATGTAAGGCTTTTTAATGTATTTTTGTTAAACATTTCTTGGCTTTTAACATTAAACTCAGCTCCTGGAATTTGAGCCAATAGATTGCAGAGTGCCAGTCTCAAAGTTTTTTTACAGCCAGTGAGCAAGACACTGCACAAATGCTGTAGCAAAGTGCTATTGATATTTAATTGTTGTGTTTCAAATTCTGTGAACTATGCATGGCTTACCACTGCTATATTTTTTGTAATGTTTGATAGGTAACTGGGGACACCTAGTGGAGACCAATAAACATTTCAACCCATATTCAGTAGATACTGTGAAATATTCAGAGGGCACAAGCTACACTAACAACGTAACTGGTTTAATAGTCATTTTTCTCTCCAGGAAACTTTGAAAACTATAGGGGCTCTTTGGGGGGATGGTAGAGGGACTACAATTCTTAGCATTCTTTGGGAGGAAAGCCATGAAGTGGTGCTGCTATAAAAGCAATAGGACAGCTTTATGATAAATTGGAAACTATTTATTGAATATTGCCTTTTTAAAAAAATTGCTTCTCCAGTCAACTATCAAGGTGAGAGCTGACTGCAGCAAGTTAAATTACATCAAATGAATTGCAACTCTGCCAACTGAACGACTTCCTGCTTTTTGTTATATGGAATGGGGTAAAAAGCAATAGGGATGCTGGCGGCACTGTGGTCTAAACCACTGAGCTTTGGGCTTGCCGATCGGAAAGTCGGCGGTTCGAATCCCTGCGACGGGGTGAGCTCCCATTGCTCGGTCCCTGCTCCTGCCAACCTAGCAGTTCGAAAGCACATCAAAGTGCAAGTAGATAAATAGGTACCACTCCGGCGGGAAGGTAAACGGCGTTTCCGTGCGCTGCTCTGGTTCGCCAGAAGCGGCTTAGTCATGCTGGCCACATGACCCGGAAGCTGAATGCCAGTTCCCTCAGCCAATATAGCGAGATGAGCATCGCAACCCCAGAGTTGGCCACGACTGGACCTAATGCTCAGGGGTCCCTTTACCTTTACCACTGTATTACTTCTAAGAGTTGAATTCTGCTCTTACATGAACAAAGCATTTGAGAGCATACTGTTTGACCAAACACAGTAAGAAATACCTTTATGGAGTTCAGATTCCTGGTGATGCCCTCGGTGGTCTTAGATGTCCACTACAATAGGCTTTCATATGATGACAGACTCTGCATATAAACACAGGTGGGAGATATCACACATTACTTGTTATCACTGCCCTTTGGATAGCGATCCAAGAGACTGATTCTTGAAACCTTTGCCAATTCCTGGAAGCAGGTTTACTATGGCAGAAACGGCTCTCTTTCTTTTGAATTATGCAAACAGCTTTCTGATACATAAAGTGGTTCTTTCTGCTCTGGCACAAGAAAGAGAGAGGGAGATAATATTGCAGCAAGTTGTGCTGGAGATTCAGAGGTCTAACCAAAGTTAAGCTGGGCCTGAGTTAACATAAGAACTCTGACTCCCTTTTTTTAAAAAAGAAGACTTTTTTTAAACCCTTGATGTCATGTATTATGTAATTACTGTATGCTGTATGTTATGGTTTGGCAAATTATAGGGAAACAGTGATGTTGCCATATTGCCAAATGTGAGGAGTCATGCTAGCCACATGATCAAAGATTGTTGAGATGTTGCCTGTAGTGGCAGTGCTATTTTTCTAGAAAAAGAGGTGCTGGAACTCACCATGAACGCCTTCATTGTTCTCTTATACAGTGGTACCTCGGGTTAAGGACTTAATTTGTTCTGGAGGTCTGTTCTTAACCTGAAACTGTTCTTAACCTGAGGTACTACTTTAGCTAATGGGGCCTCCCACTGCCTCCGCACGATTTCTGTTCTCATCCTGAAGCAAAGTTCTTAACCAGAGGTACTATTTCTGGGTTAGTGGAGTCTTTAACCTGAAGTGTCTGTAACCTGAAGCGTCTGTAACCCGAGGTACCACTGTAATAGCAACAGCATCCACCTGAGAGGTGTTGGAACTGAGTTCTGGCTGAAAAAAACAACCTTGCCTGTAGGAAAATAAGTGCCAAAGTAGCTGCTGAGCGAGGCAGCAAACAGACGTTTCTGCCAGCTCATGGAGAATTAACCCCTTTTTTCACTTTCCTTAACATCCTAAAAGATATAGCAGCTTCATGGAAGGGGAGTGAAACCACTATAAGTCCAAATTCAATACTTTATAGGAGGCCTGGGCAGTCTTCAGACTTGTCATATTTAATAAGAGCCCCAGTATCTCCTAAGTAGTGTCAGGTGCCAAAGACATACTGTCAGGGGCTCAGGAGCAGAGGCACAGGAAAGGGAGGAAATAGAGAGCAAGGGGGAGGAATCCGAAGGAAATGTTAGCGATGACAGCGGTCCAAGGTCTCTGAGTCTTTCCAGCGAATCGGAAGATTCACAGAAAGGGGCTCCCATGGTCAGAGCAAGGGGGGTGCCTAGGGGGACACCCCAGGAAGAAGGGGCCAGAGGGGACTCAGAGAGCAGCAGTTGGAAATCAGGACCAGCTTCCCCACCAGAGCGCAGTAGGGGGGAGGAGTCCCAGGTATCGGGATCAGGAGGCTCACCACCAGCGGGAGGAGAGGAGTCAGGATTGGCCACGCCTCCATCGGAGAGCGAGGAAACGGTTAAGAGGAAGGTTGGAGGCTGGGCGCGCACGCCAAGTTCAAATGTACAGGAGGGCGGCGCAGTTGGCAGCCCGGATAGGGAGCCAGGTCCCAAAGCCCGCCGAAAGGAGGGGGAGGAGTCAGGGGGGTCAGCGTCAGAAGAGTCCAGAAAGGAGGAGACCCCGGGGGGCAGAAGGACCCAGAGGAGAAAGGAGAGACGTAAGAGGTGGAGTAAGGTTAGAGTCTTAAGCTGGTGTACAGGGGGGGGAGACTCAGATGGAGCTTCGCCGGTCTAGCCTCTAAGACGTAGAGCTGGGGCGCTGCGGCTTGAAAATGGAAACTGTACTTCAATAAAGACTTTTGTACATTACTACCGGCTAGCGTTGGTCCTCTGTGAGCTGGGACCTGGAGCCAGCTCTGACACATACGGTTAGAATTACCATATTTTTTGCTCTACAAGACTCACTTTTTCCCTCCTAAAAAGTAAGGGGAAATGTGTGTGCGTCTTATGGAGCGAATGCAGGTTGCACAGCTATCCCAGAAGCCAGAACAGCAAGAGGGATTGCTGCTTTCACTGCGCAGCAATCCCTCTTGCTGTTCTGGCTTCTGAGATTCAGAATATTTTTTTTCTTGTTTTCCTCCTCTAAAAACTAGGTGCGTCTTGTGGTCTGGTGCGTCTTATAGGGTGAAAAATATGGTATATATTGGAGTACTTCATACCACATTTTGAGTGTAGGAATTTGCTCAAGGTACCAGAAGTGAATAGACCTTACAATGCTACTTCTCGTTTTCCTGTTGAATAGCTACTTCCACCAATAAGCTGACTATAAAGTAATGTCTGTTTGGGACGCGGGTGGCGCTGTGGGTAAAAGCCTCAGCGCCTAGGGCTTGCCGATCGAAAGGTCGGCGGTTCGAATCCCCGCGGCAGGGTGCGCTCCCGTTGTTCGGTCCCAGCGCCTGCCAACCTAGCAGTTCAAAAGCACTCCCGGGTGCAAGTAGATAAATAGGGACCGTTTACTAGCGGGAAGGTAAACAGTGTTTCCGTGTGCGGCTCTGGCTTGCCAGAGCAGCGATGTCACGCTGGCCACGTGACCCGGAAGTGTCTCCGGACAGCGCTGGCCCCCGGCCTCTTGAGTGAGATGGGCGCACAACCCTAGAGTCTGTCAAGACTGGCCCGTACGGGCAGGGGTACCTTTACCTTTACCTTTACCTTTAAAGTAATGTCTGCACAATGTAATGTCCTAACCACTGGGAATCAGAAACTTTTGCTGATCCACTGCAAATTACCCAGAGATTTTCCAGTAGATCCTGCTTGGCCTGATTGCCTACTCCAGCTCTAAATTATGGAACAGTAATTTTAAAAAATAAATAGAAGGTAGCTTTAAATAAATGTTTGGACTCTTCCCCTCAGCTTATTGTTGCCTATCTGCAGGAAGTAAAGGTAAGTGGAATGAACAAAAAAGGAACTTTTAGTAACTTATAAACAGATGGTGACAATTACACGACCCTAAGGCTAACATTCTGGCGCGTCAGCTGGTTTCGTTCACTGGAGTGAATTAAGTGCAACAGGGTACTTCCTCAAATGGCTTTTGAGCAATAAGTACACCTAAATCCTCAGCACGTTTCCTTGAAAATCAGCCCCATTTATTTCATTAAAACCTCTTCCTCCATGCTGGTATGCTCAGAATCATACCTAATGTAAAGTGGTATAGAAGGTTCTACTGTGAATAGTTATTACTCAATCAGTACCGTAACTTATTAGCAGCTTCTTAATACTCCTAGAGGGACGCGGGTGGTGCTGTGGGTTAAACCACAGAGCCTAGGACTTGCCAATCAGAAGGTCGGCGGTTCGAATCCCCGCAACGGGGTGAGCTCCCGCTGCTCGGTCCCTGCTCCTGCCAACCTAGCAGTTCGAAAGCACGCCAGTGCACGTAGATAAATAGGTACCGCTGCAGCGGGAAGGTAAACAGAGTTTCCGTGCGCTGCTCTGGTTCGCCAGAAGCGGTTTAGTCATGCTGGCCAAATGACTGTACGCTGTACGCTGGTTCACTCAGCCAATAAAGCGAGATGAGCACCGCAACCCCAGAGTCTGTCACGACTGGACCTAATGGTCGGGGTCCCCTTTACTTTAATACTCCTAGGCATGGGGTGAACCATCTGTGAACTCGTTTACTCATAAAAGAACATATTGTGAATTGGACGCTACATCACCAATGGGTTCAAACTGCCAAAAAGAAGTGGTGGTCTTGCATGAAAGTGAGTGTATTTTGGGAAATGATACATGATGAGATAAAAAAAAATGTTCAGAATGAGTATACCTCCCCCCCCAAAAAAGCCTGAAGTATTTCTGTTAGGGATTATAGAGGTAGAGGTAACCCAAAGAAATGGTTAAAGCTGTTTATGTATGTAACAATAGCAGCTAGGATTCTTTATGCAGAGAAATGTAAGGAAGAAGAAGTTCCCACCAAAGAAGAATGGATAAGTAAGATAATGGACTATGCAGAACTGGTAAAATTAACAGAACCTAATGATGAGTGTCTTATGGAATAATTTATGCATTTTTGGATTATTTAAAGGAATATTATGGTAGTATGAACTCGCAAGCAGGATTTGAGCAACAGAAGCAATTAGATAGGGCGCAACCATAGGGGAAAAACAACACCATGGAAAATGGGGTGGGACATCGGCAAAAATAAGACGGAAGATGAAACTGGGTTTCGACTGTATATGTTAACAATGCTGAAGCCGAATAAAATATAACGGGGGTGGGGAGGAACTGCCAAAATCGAAAAAAAAAGAAAAAAAAAGGCTTAAGGCTCATCCACACTTCTCCCTGTCCTCTGATTTCTTCTGTTTGTCCCCGGATTTCTAGAGGTTTTTGTTTTCTCCTGCAGCTTTCCCCAGAAAAACCCATGGTTTGTTGCTGAATCAGAACAAATGGCACTACTCAGAAAACCTGGTTGATGTTTGTTTCAATTCAGCAGTAAAACTCAGGTTTTCCTGAGAAAGGGGCAGAGCGTAAGAAAAAATTACCAGGCCCGTATCTAGAAATCATGGGAGAAAGAGGAGCATGGCTGAGCCCTAAGACTACACAGAAAAGTTCCTAATGGAACACTATAATTATGTGATTCTGTCTTTGGTTTCTGCAATATCTATCATCTATCTATATCATCTGCCACCATGAAGGCTCTTGCAATCACCCATGAAGCCTCCTTTAAGGCAGTTAGGAAAATAAGATGTGCATCAGTCCCAAGCCCATTTTAAAAACTCACATGCACAAATTTCTCAGTACATGCAACACTTTTCTATGTGGCTATCTATACCTGACAACAGTAATCATGAGAGGATAGGTGTGGCAGGTGAAGTGATCTTCTGAATAATATCAAGACCAAAACTTGCATTATTATTTCATTTTCCTCTTGGAAATAGAAAGCAAACGTAAAAGCAACAGTGATCCAAGCATTCGAACACAAATTATGCAGCAAAAAGCATAAATACAAGGAGCAGCGCTAATAATAGTCAGTACATGAAGCAGCTACAGAATCAAAAGTTTAAGGAGGATGGAGCGGGTGGAATCTATTGTTTTATTATTATTATTATTATTATTCCTACTAACTTTACCGTGTCTGGCGCTTTTCCACATAGACTTGTGTCACGAACCATTTGATTATAAAGAAAATTATAGCATGGTTTGCAGCACCAGAAAAGCAATGCAACACAATAATAGCTGTACAATAATACGTATCAAGTAACACTACAATAAGCCTTCTAATTGAATATGTGCATTCAGAAGACTGCTTTATCGTGTGAAATAGTCGCCAGAATTCACTTACTGTTGTTTTCCCCTCCCTGCAGGGCTCTATGACAACTATCCAACCAATGCAGAACCAGAATGCTGTGATGTCAGATGGGGACTATTATCAGATAACCAATCCAAAGGGACTATAAAAACAAGTGACTCGATGTGTCACCGGACATCACTCACAGTTTCATCAGCATCAAGACTGTGTAACAGCAGACTTAAACTGTGTGTTCTCGTACTAATTCTCTTACATACAGTACTAACAGTCTCAGCAGCACAGAACTCAACCGAACTGGGCTTTGGCGGCATAACAACTTTGGAAGATAATTCAACCAATGAGGAATAAAAGATCCAATTCATCTTCTCCTATGGGCCTACAGCAGGCCCACATGTACTGCAGTCAAACACAAGAGACTGGGTCCTTTTGCCCTCCATTCAATCCTCCAAAGGCCTTCTGGGTAAAACTCAGCAGAAGGGCCACAATCCAAACAAGGACACATCAAATACAGCTTTTTATTGACTAAAAGGCTGTCTGGTGACTTAAATTTCTCACACCATTTTATACACTGTGTTTTAATGTTTGGAGTTTCTTTCTTTTGTTTTTGCACTTGTTAATACAGGATTTTATTTTTTGGACAGTTTCTCAGAGCTAAACTAAGTCTTTTCACTGTCTTATCTATTTCTAGTCATTGTGTGTGTTCATCCAATAGTTCTGTCTTTTATGTCTTGTCAGTTTCTATTAGAGGAAAGAACTGCTGTGGTTCCATGGCATAACTAACTATTGGATTAATTTTTATTTTTAGAAAAAACAACAGTAACCTTGCCCCCTAAATGGCCCTACTCCCCCACAAAAAAATGGTTCTCCTTCTCCTCTCCAGTGCCCCAAAGCCGAAAATGCCCGCTTGCTTTTCCGTCTGTGTAATCACAATGAATGGGCGCACGATTCAGATGAGCCTCTGCCCATGTTGCACAAGTCACCTGACTGGAACCCAAAGTGAGGAGATGGGGAGGCAAGAGAGAAGTGCTCTCCTTCTAAGGTGGAATCGGACAGTGAAATTGTAACGTAACAAAACCTATAACAAACTGTTGCTCCAATTCCCATTTTCAAAGAAGTCCAGTCCTTTCTCACTGGTCAGTTGAACAGGAGCAGCCTGGGACGGAAGACAGTGCATGCAAAACCATGTTTAGAGCTCAGCAAAGATGACTAGATGAGAGAGGCCTTCACAGTGGCGGGAGATGTTTGGCATTCATTGTGAATTACGGTTTTTTAATTCCGCCGCAGTCATGCGAGCAGCACTTGTCAGTATAATCTATAGGAGCAAAGAGGTTCAGAAAAAAAAATTATTTTTTTTCCTTTTCCCCTTTACTAGTTCCTGATTATCTCTCCACAAATTCCCCCAGAAAACACAGAATGTGTGGACATCACACATGAGTGCACACCCAACCTAGTTTAAATAGCAACATTTCTTGGAAATCTCTGACCCCCAACCAGGGTTCCCAGATGCCTGTATACTGGTATTTAAAGATGCAGTTGTGTTTCGTCCACATCACACAATTGCTGTGGGAACATGGGAACATAAGGTGTGTGTTTCCTGCAGCAACCCAGTGTATGAAACTGTCCGCAGTCTATTAAGTATGACATGTTAATGAAATTCCCCTTGAAACTAAAGGCAGACGAGGACATTGGGGGGGCGAAGGCAGAACTAAACGTTAGCACAGCTGAAAAAGAAAACATAATGGTGTGTTTTTTTAATAAAAAAATAGTCATCATAATAGATAAACCATTTCCATGAGTGTGCAATAAAATTTAACACGTTGGGCTGAGTAGTCAAAGTGGGGCAGGGAGTGAGAATAATCCAGTTGTCTTTCCCCCCCATTTTTTTCTTTGTAGAATCATATCACCTGCTGAGTGTATGAGAATTTGCTTTTTAAAAAGGCTTTTTAGAGTTTACACTAGAATAAATGGAAGGAAAAGTTAATAAGGGCTGTTTTAAAAAAAACTTTTCATTCCTTCCTGTTCTCTAACTACACTTGGAAAGTGCACTTTAGAGCTGTTTGCTGTGTAGCTGAGAGATGAAGGAAAAAAGATAGGAAATATTCTCTTAGCAAACCAATTATCTACTTTCTAGCTATGAAAAACCCCATCCTTCCCTGGCCCTTTCAAGAAAACGTTTCTGTTCATCACTGCGGTGTTGATATGCATTTTTATTCATGTTTTATGGTTTGTGAAGTTCTGCAAAAAATATATATATATATACAAAAAAATACAAAAAAAAAAAAATCCCTACTGCTTTAGCAGGTTAAAATAATGCATTTGTTTAAGATGTATAAGCTCAACTATTTTGCAAGACTTCTTGTTTTGATAGTGTTTTGCTATGAACTGAGAATGAGGATCTTAAAATGACCTGTGCAAATACAAAAAAAAGCACGTAAAATGCAGAATTATTCAGCTTCAGTTTCTTTCCTTACCCTTCTCCCCTCCTTACTACGCATGTGCACACACAGATATTCTACTTGGCATTTAAAAATGGTGCTTTTATTTTCCCACCCCCACCCCGGAAGAGCACATCTCATATGAATTATACTCATAACTCTACTGTGGAAATACTTTGAAAATTTAGGGGTGGGGTGGGGGTGTGGGGAGAGAAAGCTTTAACCGATAGTGGAATGTAGATTTCAAAGAGCATTTTGGTCTGTTGCGGAAAAAAAGTAATGCAGCAATAAGGGGGCTGGGCTGCAGTACTTTAGGGAGTTTGCTAGAGTCGCGCGACTAAGAAAGCACATAGGTGAGCTCTTGTTCAACTGACCTCTTCTCTTGATCTTAAACGTAAATGGTCAGTAAACAGTTTGTTATAAACCTTGATCTACCTCTGCTGTGCAAAGGCCATTCAACAACATCCATTTCTGTGACATTCATTGCATTATCATTTTGGTTCACCCATGGACTCATTCGTTCTATTTTTATTTTATTTATTTTTTGCACTGCCCCAATACAGTAGCGAGTTCTCTTCGTCCCACATTTAAAGTGGCATTTAATGAAGAAGTGCTGGTTCTTCTCAATGGGACCCTATTTTGCCTCCTGCTGACCTAACTGCAGAGAATACCAGAAAGGAACATTTCTTCTTCTTCCTTCCCTTCCCTTCCCTTTCCTTCTCTTCCTTTTTTTTTCTTTTCCCCTTTTCCCTTTTTAAAATGTGCTTTCAAGGGGAGAGAAAAACACAGCTCTAACGCTCCCTGGCTTCAAGCAATGACACCAGGAGGGAGAGAAATAGAGAGAGCTGGAGAAAAACAGTGGCAACGTTATTCGCATGCTTAAAAAAAGAGAGAGCGCCAAACAATGAGTAAAATGAAAAAGGAAGCACAAACCATTTTAATTAAAGACGTAATGAAACACTCCAAATAGGTGCCTGCAGTCAACATGGTCTGTGAATTCTCTGTCACTATTCTCCCTCCCCCTCCCTTTTTCAGTCTATTTCCTTCATTTATTTTTATTTATTTTTAAGGAACGTCACGTTCCCGGGTACACTGCTGCTGTGATGTTACGTTATCATTTGAGCCAGGGTATTTCTGCTCCAGCAGTGTGGTCTGTATCATTTCTTAGTGGCAGCTAGGAAATCACACATAGATTTCCTAATGGAAGTTCAGAGAACCGTTAATCATGTATGATGCAAAAAGCTCATCCCATCCATTCCTCATCCGTAAACAGTTTTCTTGGCACAAACCTGAGCATGCTTGATATTGTGCACCTATTACTTTTGCCCGAATAAATTTGCATCTTGCCACTGTAACCGCCATCTTGTTCCATTTCTCCTTGTGCTGTATGAATTGGACATACATGATGAAGAACCGGCTTCAAGATAAATGATGTTCATGTGTTTTTTAAAGCAGAAAAAGAGAGGTATCTATTTCAGAGTCATATAGACCAGACTTCCCTGCCCTCCACCGCAATGTGTTTTATCTTTTTTTTTTCTGAAACAACGGGAAAATTCCAGAGTTTGTGCAATATATGAATACTGCAAAGCCAAATGTCATAGATCACAACCAGAGCTATATGTTAATTCCTTATTGCATTTACATTTGAGAATACATTATATTGACTTTTCCTTTCATTAAAGAGATAGAATACTTTTTTTTTTTGCAAATAATAGCTATCGCAGGCTGTCCTTCCGCACACCAGTGAAAAGTGGAATAAAGGTTGAGACCCACAAGTGGTACAAGAGCACCGTCAACTTCAAAAGACTCTGCGGGATAATGGAGCTGGGCTGAAAAGTTTCCAAAAAAGTATCATCATGCATAGTTTCCTAAAAGCATAGAACCACTGAAAGGTAACAGGAGCTGTCCAGTACAACAACACAGAGGAGGTAGCAAGTGTAACTGGCTATATTGTGTGATATAGTCCAATGCAGCAGTTTGAGAATAGCAAGAGGACAAAACAGAGTCCTTTCTGGTTCCTGGTACTGTTTGTTTTTCACTACATCTAGTCAAGGGAGTGAAATGAGGGCAGGGGGAACACGATCAGAATTAGGGGCTCTCGACATCACTTTCCATGGGATGGAATAAAAGTAGAGAAAGACAGTGGGGGGCAAAACCAACTGAAGTTCTTTGCCTATTTCAAAGGTTGCTAAGAACTTTTGAGATTACAACGCCCGGATCCTTGATTGTGTAAGGCACGTAGGGTAAACTACTGAGTCTGAGCACTGGCCCATCTAGTTCAGTTCTGTTGACACTGACTGGCAGAAGCAGCTCTCCAGCCTTTCAGGCAAGGGACATTCCCGGCCATCCCTTGAGATGCTGAGAATGGAAACTGGGACCTTCTCGCATGCAAAGCAGTTAGCAGTGAGCTACAGCCCCAGTATATGCCCTAGTATACATCGGTCGCATTATCCTGCATATACATTAAAGTGCCAGACAGTTCCATCAAAGCAGAACATGCCTTCAAGGTTTTCACAGAATTGGGAATGGACCCTGAGGATCGTGTAGTTCAACCAGCTGCAATGCAGAAAGATGCAGCTTTCACATGCAGGGATCGAACCTGCAACCATGGTGTTATCAGCACCACTCTCTAACCAACTGTGCTACCCAGGCAATGCTGCAATTGCAGGCCACCACCCAAAGTTCCTTGAACCAAAGAGGTCTTTGAACAGGAACACACAACTGGCATGTTTCAAACCGATGGGGCTTTCAGATGCAATTTGTGATACGGGAGAACATTAAAAATGCAAGGCCTACTGGCTGGGTTATAGTTTAAAATGTATTTTTAAAATAAAATGTTGCAAAGCTGAGTTGTCTTAGGCCATTAGTGGCCTCTCCATGAGTTGATGAAATGAATTTCCTTGTCTGGGCTTCTCTTCATTTTTCTGCTCAGGGCACACAGGGTTTCCCTTGGCTACTGGCAAGGGCTGACCCAACAGTTCTCCCAAGCCATCAATGGCCTCCACACAAATTCTCTCGCCTAGGCTACTTTTCTGCCTTTTCCCTCAGAGCACACACAGGCCTTAAATACCAAATTCAAAAAGTAAAATATTAACAAATAATTAAATTTGGAGTAGGCTGAAGATTTCCTTCTTTCCTGAGTTGGAGGCGACAGGTCCAGTTCTGACTCTCTCCCTGAGGTAAAATTTCACGCTGTGATAACCACTCCTTGCAGTTGCTCCAGATAATTATGCCTCTTTATTTACTGTAGCTATTTATATGCCTCTTAGTCACTAAAGCTTCTGGGCAGGTTCTAAGCAGTTACACATTCATGCTTATACGTCATCCAGGCCTGCAGTGGAGGTAGCTAATGGTCTTAGATTTGGTTGGAAGCATTCTAAATCTAGGAGGATGTGGTTATCAAAAGTGTGCACTGACCACAAGATACAGTTCAGACACTGATCCAGTCAGCGTCTTGTAAAAATAGCCTTCAATTTGACTAGGACCTCTTCAGAGGTTTCCCATTTCACTTCAGTTCCAAACTGATTTGGATGTTTTCCATGCCATTCCCTATCATGGGGGAAAAAATCAACAAATAACTGTAACTTTCATTTTCAATAGAATCTGCAGTCATGGTAGCCCCTGCTGAGTTGGTGAAACCTGTCAAACTGAAGACAAACGGGAAATGATGGATTTGGGCTGGGTTTGAAGATTATCTGTTTTTAACAGTGGTTCCCAGTTAGGAGTCTGGGGAACCCTGGAGGTCTGGGAAATGCACCCAGAGGGTCTGCAGCCCCATCCCTTGCCTCCCCCCTACTAAATTGTTGCCATTTCTGCATGGCAATATCACAAATCTTAGGGCCTGTTTTTGTCACTGTGTGATTTTTCCATATATTGGCCAAAATCAGTTTTGAAATCACACCGCAATAATGATTTTGACCCGGCGCGCTGAGGGAGACCAGGGCAGCTGGTTTCCCTCAGTTCAAGTCACAATGGCACTACCTTCCCCTGGCACTGAGGCGGAGCAGCTTTTCTCAGTCAGCAGGAAAGCAGCAGCAGCTACAGTGGACATTCATCTTCGTTGGCTTCCACCACTCTCGGCGCTTGATGCACACACCCTGTCCCCATCCCCCCATCTCAAACCACGTGGTGGAAATGACTCCACTTCCTCTCTCCACCTGCCCAATCTTTGTGACTGCTCCTTCCCTTATCCCCACTAGGCCTGGCTGACCATGAGGACGGCTTCACTCTGCAGTATATCATGGGTGAAACTGCCACCTCCTGAGTCTCTCTGCTAACAGCGCCCAGCGAACTGAGAGAAAGACGAGCTGCGGCCGGGCGCTGGAGGCAAAGGGACTCAGGAGCGGTGACAATTTCACCAACGATATACCGCTGAGTGAAATCGCCATCGTGCTCTGCCCTCATACCGCTGCAGAGGGAGAAGCAAGCGAGATCCCTTGTGTTAAGTTGTGGGTGAACATATCAGACGACACAGAGATTCTTCAAACTGCTCTTGTTTATTCACAGGCCAGAACAGAAGTGAACTGAAGGGTTCAGCCAGCCTGCTTATATAGAGCGCCACTAGAACGCAACAGTAACCATTTTCTGTAACTATCCAATCACTGAACGTCACTTTCAATCCCTAATTTGCATATGTGGACCTGAGTGAAAACTATCTACAGTATCCCCCTGCTGGCCCAGGGTGAGAACTTCAGTACATAACACCTTGCTTCTTTACACAGCTTGGCTGAGGAGCGCACCACTGCCCTTGTCTCAGCCAAGCAGTTCTACAGAGCCCCCGACCCGCCACCGGCTCACATGAGCCAGTGGCAGGGTGGGGGCTCCATTAAAGTGCTCCCACTCCCCAGCATGTGAGCAGGAGTGGGATCGCAGCTGCTCAACTGGGGAGGTGCAGGCTCTGTCACACTTTTCCATTGAGGGGTGCACGGTTGCACCCCCTTGTTGGAGAAGTCTAAAGGAGCCCCCACCTCACCTCCAGGGACATCGGGGCTCGCTCAGCTGGGGTGCGGGAGCCTTCCCACCCCCCAGATGAGCAGTGGACCGGGGCCAGATGCATTGGCCCCAGCCTGTGAGGCACTGGGGTGAAAGCACCTCAGTTCCTGCGGTGAGAGCTGAGGCAGTTTCACTTGGTGCTGGAGCTGATGCAGCTTGTTTCAACATAATGGTTTATTCACCAAACCACGATGTTTGTCTGGTGATACACCACGATGTTGAAAACCTGACATCGCCCAGCCCTAACCCCACACCTGATCTGCACGCACCCCACCCGATCTATGTAGCTACTCCTTCTCTCATCCCCACGACCGATCTCCTATTTCAGACATTGTCATATATCGGAATATCACGATGTTTAGCTGCTGATATATCATAATGTTGAAAATCAGGTTTCGCTTTGCCCTAGTCTGTTTTTTACTATACCTAAAATCCTTTGCTTATTAGGGGCTACCCCACATTTTGTTCAAAAAATTGCTTTGAAGAGGTAATGTCAGGCTTCAGGAACTGCTAGGTCTCCTTAAAGCTGATTAGAGAGAGAACTAAAGGGGATTCGCTCCCCTCCCTGTTGCTTTGTGGACAACATTCAGTATGAAAATGGTATAGGGGTATCTAGGGAAGTATATAGGAAAGTAACCTGCAAAACTTCATGAGGGGAGGTGCAGGAGCAAGGGTGCTATGATGAGAGGGGAGGGTGTGCAAACCAGCAGCAATAATTTGGGGGGGGGTGTTAAAAGGGTTGAAAAGGACAAATGTCCAGAATTTTTGAAGCAAACACCACCACATTTATAACCACTGCTAGTAATTTGAGCCCTAACCCTGCCCCAGGAGAATACTTGGGTGCCCCCTGATCAGATAGGGACGTTCCACAGCCCATGTTGAAACTGCTTTGACTGGCCAGCTAAACCAGGTGAGGGTAGCTGATGAGTCTCAAACCCTTGGTGAATTCGGGTCTTCCCCTGTATGCGAAGACAGGATGCGGCAGATTGAGTGGATGAGACCAATAGAGGGTCCAATGGTTAAGAAAGCGGTTTCTACATGTGCTACAGACAGAAGTAAGGGGCAGATGGGGCTCGTCCACCTGGGAAGGGAGGAGATCCTAAACTTCCACTGCCTTGTGGGCTATACTTGGGAGAAGAAACAGCTAAGGAGTAAACCCTACACCAATCCAGAGTGGAGTCCCTAAGACAGTTGGGGTGGTGCCTTGTACACCTCCTTCTGGCAACTCCTGCAGCCAAGCTGGTGCCAAACATATTGCTCTGCTTTCCTTTAGACCACATCAGCGAGGCCAAGAGTCTTATTGTCTGGGCAGCCCAAGACCTCCATACACATAGTCCAGGGGTGGTCACTTCAGTGTTGCTAA